GCTTAACCTATCTTCTTCTTTTTCTATGAATTGTGCTCAATGAATTCCCTCGCAAAACCTTACATAAAGGTAACTTATAGTGTAGCGCTGACAATCTATCTAGTAAGGAATCTAAAATATATGGTGTTTTTATTGTATATATTTTACCATGCATCCTCTTAAAAATCACTATGAATTAGGGTAGTGATTTTTTTTAATTCTCAAACTTTTTTTTCCTCCATTAGATCATTTTATAGCTAAATTAATGGCAATTTGCTTCCAATTTGTTAAGAAAATACAAGATTCAGAAAGATGACCAAAGTGAAAAATATGAGGAAACTTGATGGTCATTTCAAAATTAGCACTACAACTTCACTTTGATCCTTTTACTTTCTAATTGATACACAAATAGGTCTTTTTAGTTTTGGTTCAAAAGTTTATTTATTTTATTTTATTTTTAAGCTCTAAGTTTGAGAAAAGAGAAAGAAAATCATTATATTATAGTATAAGCAATAGAAAATATTTAATTGACATTGGCTATGAAAAAAAATCATTATTGATGTCAAGAAGGTTTTATTTGATAAACAAAGTTCTATTGGGGTGTTTTTTACCATTCACATTATATTAGAGAGTAGATTTAAGCCTGAAAAGACTTTTCAATTCAAGTTGATTTTTTATTTTTTAATCTATTTTTAGGTTACCTGGAATTATGAATGAGTTTTTATTTACATCTCTAAAGTGTTGTTTAGATGTTTTTACGTAAAAAATTATTGAAATGAATTTTTAAGTAAAAAAATAACTTCTATTAATTTTTTGATAATTTTTATAATAACGAAAATTTAAGTTATAAACAATGCATCGTCTATGTTTTAAAAAACCTGGATAGATAATGCATCATCCATCTAGTTCAATAAAAAAAAAAAAAGCCTGGACATGAGGGCATGAGGTGCAGGCCCATATAACTAGGTTTTTTTTATAGAGTTTCAAGCGTGTTAACCTGCTCAGTTTTGCAAGACTGACATGTTTTTTTTTTTATTGTTGTTTTTGTTTTTTATTTTTTATTTTATTTTTAAATGTTAGTTTTTTCTTGATTTTTTTTATAAATTTTATTTTTTCAGTATTTGAGCAATTTTAAATTGATCTCCATATTTTATTTATATTTTTAAATGTTTTTAAATAAAAAATAATAAAAAATATTTTTTTTATAAAAAATAATCTCTCTTGATTTTCCAACCACATAGTTGAATGGTGAATGATATTCTCTTTTGTACTTGAATTCTATCTCATGGGAGGAAATTTTTTTATCCATTTTCACCGATGAAAATAGATATTAAGTCGAACCACATCTTAATTTTTTCACGTTCTCGTTTTATGTTAATCAAGAATTTTATGCATCGATGCAAAGCTTTCATAATCTCAACATTTTTGGGAATTGGGATTAAAAGATATGCTGGATTGCATTGACGTTTCTAAAGATATTCAAAGTAAATTGAAAAATCTCAGAATATGTTTTGTGCAAAGTTAGGAGGATGGATGTTGAACCTTCACAGGGATTGCAATCAAAACAAGAAATTTAAAACAACGAGGATCGAAATAGAATAATTCTTAATCTACAGAAGCTAAAATATACTTTATTTGCTGTTTTCGTTAAACGTGGCGGTGAGAGTTGCAAGATGCAACTACCACAACTACTTGAGAGGCGGATATTTCGATGCTAAACCATCAAGCAGCAGAGGTATAGAAACACACGACAAGCTCTCTTTCTTGCATAAAATGAACAAGAAGAGACAAAGCAACAGATCGTTAGCAACACTGCCATTCTATAAGTTTCTCCTCGTAATCTCCGAGCTCGAAACCTTTTTTTCCGTCCTTGCCTTTCAATATTCTCGTTACCTTTCAAAGGTACGGCCTTTTTATTGGCTCTTGTTATTGTTATTAGCGTTCGCTGATTTGGTTTTCGTTTTGCAAAATGGAGGTACCATTATTGCGTTTCCAAAGTTTGACACCCAATCAAATTCAAAATCATAATAATTGTAGCTTCCCTTTTTTGTTTTCGATGTCCAAGTCTTTAAAGCAAAGAATTTTGTTTTCTGGTTATGGTTTTTCTTTCAATAAAACAAAATGGAAGAAGAACCCACTATGGGAAATCAAGTGTTGTTCGTTAGATCGAGGGTTACAACCACGTCCAAAGCCGAAACCGGTGAAAGTTGACATTGATGTTAGTGGAAGGAGTAGTTTTGTTAAAAGACCAAGTGTAGGACTTTGTAGTCAGATAGAGAAGTTAGTTTTGTTTGCTAGGTATAGAGAAGCCCTTGATCTGTTTGAGATTTTTGAGATTGAAGGTGGGTTTGATGTGGGGATTAGTACTTATGATGCATTAGTGAATGCTTGTATAGGGTTAAGATCAGTCCGAGGAGTTAAAAGGGTGTTTAATTATATGATTGATAATGGTTTTGAGTTTGACCAGTATATGAGGAATAGAGTGCTGCTTATGCATGTTAAGTGCGGGATGATGATTGATGCGCGGGGATTGTTTGATGAGATGCCAGAGAGGAATTTGGTTTCTTGGAATACAATTATTTCTGGGCTGGTGGATGTAGGGGATTTTCTGGAGGCGTTTAGGTTGTTTTTAATTATGTGGGAGGAGTTCTCGGATGCTGGGTCGTTCACATTTGCAGTGATGATTCGGGCATCTGCTGGGTTGGAATTGATTTCCATAGGGAGGCAATTACATGCATGCACTTTGAAGATGGGCATAGAGGATGATATATTTGTGTCCTGTGCTCTGATTGATATGTATAGTAAGTGTGGGAGCATTGAAGATGCTCGTTTTGTCTTTGAGGAGATGCCAGAGAAAACAACAGTAGGATGGAATACTATCATTGCTGGTTATGCGCTTCATGGCTACAGTGAGGAAGCATTGGATATGTATTATGAGATGCGTGATTCTGGTGTTAAAATGGACCACTTCACATTTTCCATGATTGTGAGAATATGTGCTAGGTTAGCTTCGGTGGAGCATGCAAAGCAAGCTCATGCTGCTTTAATTCGCCATGGTTTTGGATCAGACATTGTAGCAAATACAGCACTTGTTGACTTCTATAGCAAATGGGGAAGAATCGAAGATGCTCGGCATGTCTTTGACAAGATGACTTCCAAAAATGTAGTTTCTTGGAATGCTTTGATTGGTGGATATGGTAATCATGGTCGGGGTTCTGAGGCTGTGGAGTTGTTCGAGCAGATGCTTCAAGAAAGAATGAATCCCAACCATGTCACTTTTCTTGCTGTTTTATCTGCATGTAGCCATTCAGGTCTATCAGAACGTGGGTGGGAGATTTTTCAGTCTATGGGCAGAGATAACAGGATCAAGCCCCGAGCTATGCATTATGCATGTATGATTGAATTATTGGGTAGAGAAGGGCTTTTAGACGAAGCTTTGGCTTTGATAAGAGGTGCTCCCTTTAAGCCTACGGCTAATATGTGGGCTGCCCTGTTAACAGCTTGTCGAGTCAACGAGAATTTTGAGCTTGGAAAATTTGCAGCTGAGAAACTTTATGGCATGGAACCAGATAAGCTTAATAACTACGTTGTGCTTTTGAATATATACAACAGTGCTGGCAACTTGAAGGAAGCTGCTGATGTTGTCCATACCTTAAAGAGGAAGGGTCTGAGAATGCGTCCTGTGTGCAGCTGGATTGAAGTTAAGAGACGGCCACACGTCTTCCTTTCTGGAGACAATCGCCATCCCCAGAGAAAGGAAATTTATCAAAAAGTGGACAAGCTGATGCTAGAAATTTCCAAGTATGGTTATGTTCCTAATCAGAAAACTTTGCTTCCTGATGTTGATGAACAAGAAGAGCGTGTACGTTTGTACCATAGTGAGAAATTGGCCATTGCTTTTGGTCTCATCAGCACTCCGTACTGGGCACCTCTGCAAATTGTGCAGGGCCACCGGATTTGTGGTGACTGTCACGAAGCAATTAAGTTGATAGCTAGGGTAACTGGAAGGGAGATTGTCATAAGGGATGCCGGCAGGTTCCATCATTTCAGACACGGTCATTGTTCTTGTGAGGACTACTGGTGAACAGTAAAAGCATTCTTTTGTAACCACTGAAAATTTTGTTGTAATTTTCTCTCCGATCATACCTATTTTTTTCCTCCCTAAATATACAATAATCCGAGCACGAGTTGTAATTATATTTTTCATCCTATTATTTGAAAACATATCATTTTATCAATTAAGTCCCAAAAGTATTAAACGCTCCTGTTAAATTGCTTGACCATGCTTGTATCATATAATATGCAATAAAGTGACATTATTTTGGAGTGAATTTGATGTTTTTATTAAAAACATCATGGAGGATTTTAGACAGGGATCCAATTAAAGAATTTATGATTTCCTGGGGTTGAAATTGAGAAAATAGTTAGTTTGGGGATAATGTGGAAATTGGTTGATAATTGAGAGGTTTATTTGAGATTTTCCCCAATGTCAATTAACAAAAGATAGACAAACAAGATTTGGGATTTTATTACAATGTGCATTTTCATCCTGAATTGAACTAAATTGTGATGAATGTAATTTTTTAAAATAATTTTTATTAAAAAATAAATTAAAATAAATAATTTTTTATTTTTTAAAATTTATTTTTAATATTAACCCATCATAATAGAAAAATATTAAAAAACTAATTTAAAGTAAAAAAGAATTTTAATTTTTATTAAAAAAATTTAAATTATAAAAATAAACGGATTTTTATTATTCCTGTTAATAGATTTTTTTTTATAACGTTCGTTAAAATCTATCAAAAACGCATAAGTTAATGGATTAGAAGTAGTATCCCTTCGAATTTTCCATCAAAGTTTTTACTTAGTTGACCTGTTTTACACTGTTAAAGATGTACATCAAACAAAAAATATCAATAAATATGGATGAAAGGATGAAACTGAAAAATATTCGAAACATAAAATTTCCACGGGGACGAAATTGAGATTTAGATAATAGTCAAGGGATAATATTGAGGTCTCAGAGTTTCGGAAATTAAAGAAAAACCAAGCGAGGGTCAAGCCTACTCCATCTTCAAATCGCTTTAGGGTTTAACAGAGATAGAAAGAGGGAGAGGAAGCGGTCGGACTCTAAAACTTTCAGGTACCCGCTTCTTTCTACTTCATCAAATTCTTTTTTTATATATTGGCAATATCTTCTAAGAATCTGGAATTGAAGTTGAATTAGAGGTGTGGTGTTGTTTCTATGCGAATTAGCTAGATGGGTTTTCAAATTTCAAGGAAAGCGAAGCCGGATAATTAGAATTTTTTTTTCAGTTCATGGTGTTATTTGTCAATGGTGGAGGGAATTGGAGCAAGCCCTTTTCTTGAATTGGCTTTTAGAATATTTTAGGTGAAAGGGGCTTCTATCAAATCACTGCCTGCCTGACTTTTCTTTTATGTTTTTTGTGTTGTTTTCAGCTTTGCGTGAGGGGGTGGCTCAGCTATAGCTATTTCGAAAGATTCGAGTGGGATCAGTAGTCGTTGCCCAAATGGTGGGGAGGAAACAGCGTGAGAAAAAGAAAACAAAGGATGAGGATGGTTCCTTGAAAGAGGAAAGCTCTTTGAAAGATAGATTGCTTGCGAGTGGAGGGGAGAGTTTAACTCCAAGTATTGAAATTATGAAGAAGAAGAGGAGGAGGAGTGAGAAGCATGAGGCTGGTGCTGAGGATGTTGGAGTAAGTTCTAGTCTAAGTGAGCGTAATGTAGATGTCAATAATGCTGCAGACAACAATGAGAGGAAGAAGAAAAAGGAGAAGAAGAAGAAGAAGAGCGAGAGGCATGGGGATTGCAGTGAGGTTGTTGCAGTAAGTTCTAGTCTAAGTGAGGGTAATGTTGATGTCAATAACGCAGCAGAGAAAAATGAGAAGAAGAAAAAGAAGAGCAAGAGGCATGAGGCTTGCGTTGAGGATGATGCAGTTGGTTTAAGTGAGGGTAATATAGATGTCAATAATGCACGAGGCGGGAATGAGAAGAAGGAGAGGAAGAGAAAATTGGAGCATGGTAACAATGAGAAAGAATCTCAAGTGGCTAGGAAGAAAAATAAGGTGAGTGAAGTAGGAGAGGTTTTGGAGGAGACCCATGTGCGAATGGAGGATAATATGGGCTTGCAAAAGAATGTCCATGTGGATTTGGTCAGAAACTCCGAGTCAGAAGTGAGAAGAGATAGGAAAAAGAATCGAAAGGAGAAGAGCAGAGAAGATAGATCAAGCACCGTTGCCTCTGTGGTTAACATCCTTGACGATAACAGAAGGGAACAGGTGGTTGGTGTACAGAAAGGCCCTGAGAGTGAAGGTATTGCTAACATGAATAATGGGGAAGGACAGGATCGCAAGAAGGAAAAAAAGAAGAAACGGAAGTATGGTGGTGGTGGTGAGGTAATTGAAAGGGCAGCTGATGGAAAAGATGCTGGAAGAGAGGAGTCGACTGAAATTGTTCAGGACAAGGTAGATTCTTCAAAGAAGGAGAAGAAGAAAAAGAAGAAAAGGCACAATGTTGTTCAAGAGGCTGCTTCAATTCAAATTATGGCCAAGACCATGGGTGACCAAAGCAGTGTAATAGAAAGTGATGGAGGTAATTCAAGTTCGATTAAAAATAAGGCAAGAGATGGAAAACTAAAGGTCAGTGATGAGGGTGGAAGCAAAAGGAAGAAGAAGGCCAAGTCGTTGGGGAATGGTTCAAAAGAAAAAAGTAGCAAAAGAGTAACACAAACGGAGAAAGATGTCGAGACTACTGGTCCATCAGAAAAATCTTCATTGAAAGCGACATCTAAGAGAGTAAGTTTTTGTGAAGATGTGGAGGTTTTCCCTACATCTGATGGTCCTAGTGATGAGAAGGCTGTTGGGGAAGACGGCTTAGTGCGAGGGAAGCGGTTCTCACACGAGGAAGATGAAATGGTTAAAGAAGCTGTTTTAAACTATATCGATGTTCATGGTTTAGGTGCAGAGGGTCTAAACATGGTGCTGAATTGCAAAAAGCACCCCGCAATTGTACAGTGTTGGAAGGAAATAGGGGCGGCCTTACCTTGGAGGCCTCGTCAGAGTGTATATCATCGAGCCCATATACTGTTTGAAAGGGACCAGAATTCTTCTTGGAGCCTAGAAGAGTATGAACTTATCCGGAAGTTCCATGAAAAACACGGATCAGATTGGAAGACACTGGCAGAAGCCCTGGGAAAACATAGGTTTCATGTAAAGGATACGTGGCGGAGAATAAAACTGATCAATATGAAGAAAGGAAAATGGTCCCAGGACGAGTACCAGTCTTTATTCGATTTTGTGAATTTGGATCTGCGCTTGAAAGCTTTTGAAGAAAGGAAAACAAAGCATGGGATGTTACGAGATAATATTAGCTGGACAGCAATTAGCGAGAAGTTAGAAACTAGGACTGATGCTCTCTGCTGCCAAAAATGGTATGACCAGTTAACATCACCTATGGTAGCCGAAGGGAAATGGCTTGATACAGATGACTATCGGCTGCTGATGGAGCTCTACGACTTGGATGCTTGCTGCATGGAAGATGTTGACTGGGACAATCTTCTAGAGCACAGGTCTGGAGATATATGCCGTAAGCGATGGAACCAAATGGTCAAACACCTTGGTGACCATCGTAACGAGTCATTCACTGACCAAGTTGACGTTCTAATTAAGCGGTACTGTCCTAATGTGCTTGAAGCAAGAGAAGCCTACAACAGCAAACCTGCAGTTCCTTGAGCCTCTTGTGTGGTTTATCACTCCATTTGTGATCCCAGTCTAAGTGTTGGTGTCCCTGGATTAGGTTGCTATTGATTAATGTAATGAAATGAAGTCTTATTCCCAAGCGACTGAACTTTGCTTAAATCCCCATTGCTTTTTTCTGCTGCTGTTTTGTAATTTTGATTTGAAGATCAAGAGAGTGTGAAAGGGAATGGATTCCTTTCCCTTGTTTAAACATGATGGTCATATTTGTATTTTGTGATTTTTGCAGACTACTTTTTTTACCAGGCCTTGTAACATGCAGGTTTCTTGTTAGCATCATCTTCAAGCTGGCTGTCGAATGAGATTTTGTGGCTCTCTTGCTATTTGTGGTACAGTTTGGAATTATAGTAGCTAATATATAAAATGTTCTTTTTGTTTAAAAATTTATTGAAATATTTTTTTTTAAATATATTAAAACAATTTTAAAAAATATATATTTTTTATTTTTAAAACTTATATCTTTTACTTTCTAGAAAATATAATAAAAATTATTATATTTGTGTGTTTACAGTATGTTATTTAAATGGTTGTGTTTATATTTTAAAATGTTTTTTATTTAAAAAATATAATATATTTTTTAATTTTTTTAAAATAATTTTTAATACCACAGAATAATCATAAAATATTAAAAAATATCAATTAAAAAAATAAAAATATAATATAATTTTTTTTTAATATAAAAACAAACAGTAACTCGTTTCACGCCCTCGCCATAGACCTCAGTAATTATCAGGATACATCCTAGTGGCCCTCGTACTGTCCTCGTAATTGACTTTTGAGTAATGCCTGTAAGGCATGGAAGTGATCGATGAAAAGCTATATATATCTATGGTCCAATATAATAAGTGATATATCATGCTTTTTTAAAATATTTTTTATTTAAAAATATATTAATTTTTTTATCTTCAATATCAATATATCAAAATCATTAAAAAAATAATTTAAAGTTTTTTTATTTTGAAAATGTATTTAAACACAATTTTAAATACAAAACAAACAGAATCTCGCTTTTTTTAAAAAAAAAAAAAACTCTATGAGCAATGCATAGGCAGAGAGGATATTAACAAAAGTTACGGAATTCGAAACCGCCGCCAGTTTTGTTTGAAAGAAATAAAGCATAGAATAAACTTGACAACATGCTATTTAGAAGAATCAAATTCATAATATGAATTTTTTAATAATATAAATATATAATAATCAAATTCCTACAAGATACGTAGGAATAATATTTTTTGTAAAAACAAAATTGTATTTTAGTATTTTTCACCATACCAAACATAAAAGATTTCGTTGTTCTTCACAATATTCTACATTGTGTCTGAAGTTGATTCGAATAAATGATCTCTACATCAGTCATCATGAGCGTAAATTTTGATATTTCAGTGTAAGTGTATATGGCATTGATACATGGTGTGTATATGGATTATGCTTGCTTAGGATAGACAAGATAAATGTTTACTGTATAATTTCAGAGGGAATTTAAATATTTCCAACACAAAAGGAACAGGAACATGTCTCCACACGCACGGCAGCTAGAGGAAAACAAAAGTAAATCAAGTGTATAAGCCTGAAAGTAGAATCACTGTTCACAGAAAGATTATGATTCTGGTGTTTTTAGTTCCCGGCGTCGACTTTAGATCTCTTGACTTCCTGGGAGCAACTTGATTTCTGCAAGCATTTAACCATTGCAGAGGCAGATTTATTTTCTTCAACCCTTTGTTTGTAATAATGCCAACTTTCAGTTCCAGTACTTCTTATGACATGTGTTTTTATTTATATAATTGCAGGAGAGGATAACCAATGGGTAATGGTGGATGTTTTTCTCCCTGGATCATCTGCAGATGATTGGATTGCAGTTCTCTACAGCAAAACTCAAGTAAACCATCTACTTCTTGCTGTAAACTGCCTAGCTGTTCTCTGTGCTCAATATGTCATTAACTACAGTCTACAGGCACATTTCCCTGGAGTTAAGTTTGTCACTTGTCAGATTTTCTCCATAAATATAGCCGTATGACTAATCTGTGACCATTACTAAACGCATAATCTAGGAAATTAGTAGCTTTGATCCTTTGTATTGATTAGTTGTAGCAGAAACTTATGACTCGGGACTTCTTTAATTTCTATGATGTTGGACAATCCTTTTACCCGTCCAAGTAAGCCAAAACTTCGAGTCCAACATCTACTCAAGATACTACCTTATAGTGATCTTTTTTTCTTTCATCGATTGCTCCTCCCCCTAATCTTCTTGTTGTTTTCATCAAACTTGTTGGTGCTCCTTGTCACCAAGCCCAACTTCCTTTTTATATACCGGATACTAAATTGACTCGTGACTTCGGTCATCAGCTACCTTCGGTGCTCTTTTTTATATATAAAACACTTGTTGTCCAAGAAAAAGTTCAATGAATTCCAGCTGATGATTCAGCTGGCGGATTTCTCCTTTGCAATTTTTTGTAGGCAGGCTATAGACAGTGAGTTTCTGAAATCTGACTCCTGCTGCTGTCATCATCCTGCATTGATTCTTTCAATGTAAAACTTGATTTTACATATAACCTGCATGTTTTCGGACTCCTTAGCTGTCTTCATCCTACATATGAACTCTATCCAACCTTTGAAGTAATCTAAAAGAGGTAACTTCACACTTCACCACAATATATTTTTAGGTTTGAAAATATTTTTTTTTTCATGAACTATATATACTCGTACATGTATAATCTCACAAGATGATGAAAGAAAATTAAAGGGTAGCATTATCTTCTAGAACAAGTAGGATTTATCAATAATTTTTTGTATAAATCTCCTTAAGACTTTCATTCATTGATAATCTAATGAAGCGTTCACTTCGTATTTAAATTTGATCACAGAAATTGGAATTTATTCTAGAACAGATTTTTGTATGAAAATGATTTCTAAGACTTTTTAAATTTATTCATATATGACTGAAGCATAAAACTATCCTCATTTCGCAGGCGACGAAGGATGGTATGGGATGGGAATCAGATAAAGCTCATGTTTTCTCTTTACAGTACTTCCAAGTGCAGTATCCTCTGTCATGTCAAGGTCTTCATTCTTCACTCCATCACATAGTTTCCAGTCAAAATGGTACAATAGCTTCGCAAGCGCCATCTCTACTATAGCCAAACCAAATGACATGCCAGGACATTTCCTCTTTCCAGCACCGAATGGGATGAATTCAAAATTATTTCCCATGTAATCGATCGAAGAATCTAGGAATCTCTCTGGGTTGAACTTCTCAGCCTCATTCCAATAAGTGGGATCCCTTCCAATTGCCCATGCATTGATCATCACATTACATCTTTCAGGAATGTCATGTCCATTAATCTTGCATCCTTCCCTGCATGCTCTTAGAATCAATGGTGCAGGAGGATGGAGTCTGGTAGTTTCTTTGATAATTAGCTGCAAATATTTAAGTTCATGAAGTCTTGCTTCATCATCATTTCCCATCTTGGTAAAAACTACCCTCACTTCTTTCTGTGCCCTTTTCATGTGTCCTGGATTCTTTAGCATTTCTGACAGCGCCCATTCCATAACTGCCGATGACGAGTCGCTCCCAGCCAAAAAGAATTCCTGAGATAGAATTGTTAACCTGCTTTTAAACATATTTTCCTATATACTTCAGACAAGCATACATATCTATATTAGAAAGAGAGAGAGCATACTAACCAGAAGGATTGCTTTGATATTGTCATTTGTGAATTCGAGATTTCCTGAGTGTTGCATATTCACGAGAACATCTAAAAAATCCTCTTCTATTTCATGCTCACTGGTCTTTGTCCTGATTTTGCTGGCTCTGCGTTCATTTATAATGGTTTCAAGCATCTCACCTATCTCTTCATGCTGCCTCACGAATTTTGACCTTGCCCAGCGAAGTGAGTGAAACAATTTAAAAGAAGGAAATATATCTGCAACATCAAAACCTGCTCCCCCTTGTTTCCATTCTTCTATACTTGAAAGCAGCGCTTGGTTTTTGCCTCTCTTACCCAAGATCACTCTTGAAATTAATCCAAACGTTAATGTAAAGAGCATTTTACTAAGGTTGATAGGTGATCCTTCTTTCGAAGAAATTAATGTAACAAAATCCGATACCTTTTCTTCCATGGTTGATCTGAGTGACCTTACACATTGTGGACTAAGCAGCTTGGATGAGCAGATTTTTCGTAATTGCTTCCAATATTCTCCATAAGGTGTAAAAGAGATGGCTTTACCGTTGTAAAACACGATTCTTGGGATGACACCATCAGGTCTGTCAACAAAGATATCTTCATTGGTTTTCATCACCTCTTTCGCTGTTTCCCGAGAGGAAATAACAACAAAACGAACCTCTCCGAGCAGAATTTGCATGACTGGTCCATACTTCTTGGCCAAGTCTGTAAAGCGATGATGGATTAGATGGCCAGATACCTGGTGAATGTTTCCGACAAGAGGTAACTTCCATGGTCCTGGAGGTGGATTTGTAGTCAAGTACTCGTTGGTTTCTGATGTTTTCCTCATTCTCAATACCATGAAGATAAAGAGAAGGAAGGTTAAGAAGATTGCGAAAAGTGGAAAATGTTGCTCCATGAAGATATCAAAGATAGGATTTTGGTGGAGTTTGATTTGTGAAGTTGCATGTCATGCTTTTGGTTTTATACATGCACGCTGTTTTCAGGTTGCAGATTACTAGTCGATAGCAGATACCGATGCTCGTCGTGTATTAGAAAAACTTTAGTAGACAAGTACAAATTACTGGAAACTTTACTGTTACTAAGCTGTTCAGTCCCTCACATCTGTCTGTTCATGTTATTGTTGGTAGTTTTTAATGTCCTTAATTTCTTTTTAATTCATCAGTAAACTATTTTTCTTTGTGTTTTGTCCTTCTTATGTTTGATGTTTTTAATGCATAAGGGTTTATTTTGTTCTGTATGGTACTCTTATGTTTCCGTTGCCACAAGAATTATTTCTATGTTTCATAAAAATTGTTATTATGAAGTAGAATTATAAGGTTTAATTTTAAAACAAAAACTTCATGGGTTTTTTACGATTAAAAAATGCTTAAACAAAAAAAAAAGAATTTTGAATGAAGATATTAGTTTTCACTAAGAATTTAACTCATTAACATTTTTGCAAGTATTTAATTTTATCATCACAAAATAAAAACAAAAATAGTTTTTGAGAACGACCCATAATTACATCATTGTTTAAAAAAAAAAAAAACCTAGTGGAATCTATAATTTTACAGACTTTGTGACCGTCTGTTCTATGCAAAAGTATCTGATGAAATCTTGAAGATGCTTCTATTTTGTCTTAGAGAAGTCTGCTGCACATAAATCACAGAGCAATCAAATTGATAGTGGTCTGAATCCTATCTCTAATCGTTAATTAATTTGCATGACACAGGTTACGTTTATGATCAAATCTCTTATCATTAATTATTACACTCTTAGTTATGCAGTAACCAATCTGCCTTCTGTTCCAGCATTTGTAATTTTGTCTCTCCTCCCTCTTCTTTTTTCGGCTTGGAAAGATCCATCTTGACTGTAAATCCAGTAACCAGTCGCATGCGGAGAGTTCTACAGAGAGTTCCATCTTGACTGTAAATCCAGTAACCAGTCGCATTCTATCTTGACAGTAAATCCATTAACCAGTCACAGACAGAGAGTTCCATCTTGACTGTAAATCCAGCAACCAGTCGCATGCAGAGAGTTCCATCTTGACTGTAAATCCAGCAACCAGTCGCATGCAGAGAGTAACCAGTCGCATGCAGAGAGTTCCATCTTGACTGTAAATCCAGCAACCAGTCGCATGCAGAGAGTTCCATCTTGACTGTAAATCCAGGATGTGTGTGTGTGTGCACGAGAATATAACAAAGATGATATTCAGAAGTTGTTTCCTAACGAGGAGTTGCAAAGGTTGTCGACGCTTTTACTGCAGAAGTTCTAGAGAGAATGGCGAGCTGATGTTGTTTAAGGATCAGGTAATAATGGCAATCGGTTGTGTCCGGTAGAATTCGACGATTTTTTTTTGGTATGTTGTAGGTCAAGGCGTGCTAATACAATTACTTTTATTTTATTTTATTTTTCATTCGGTATTTTACGTTTTACTTTCAATTTCTTTTTTTAATTTGGTATTTTGACATTGGGAATAATGTGGGTTTGGAATTGGTGGGTTGTTTTGTCTGTGTATAAATGAGGGCCTCGAGGTGTCTTCGGAATATTTTGTTATTCCATCATTGTTTAACTTTGTAAAATAAAATTTAATTTTATTGGGTTTTAGCAATTAAATCTTTCGAAACCAAACTTAAAACTTTAATCAATATTGATCTCCTTGAATTTTTTTCTCATAGAGCAAATATTTATGTCCTTTTTTTTTGTTAATAGGTAGTGTATATTTGGCTAGCGGAGACCGTGCATAAGACTTAAAGGATTTTTTGGAAACGAGGTTAAACTTGTATTTTAAAAAAAAATTAAAAAAATTATTTCTTATTTTTATTAAAATTTAATATAATTTATATGTTTTAAATCATTTTAATATACTAATATTAAAAATAATTTTTAAAAAATAAAAATACATTAGCCAGCTAGTGCAGGCAGTGCACAAGACTCAGACAGTTTGGGAGGCCTTGACACTTTGACATAGCGTGTAACTTTTTTTGGTGGCCAAACACAGCCTTGCACGGTGACTGCAGATACGCGCACAGCTACCTTCAATTTATAGGGGCGCTTTTTAAATTGGATTTTTATTTCTTTAATTGATAATTTTTTAGATTTTTTTATAAAATTATTTTTTTATTTTTATTTTTCAATTAAAAAAATATAAATTATACTTAGATTGATCTGGACATTTATTTTTTATAATTTTATATTTTTATATCAAGTTGGTTATGATTTGAACTTTTTTTTATAAAAGTTCTTTTTATTTAGATTCTCATGAAAACTTTATTTTTATATAATTTAATTAATTTACTATTTTTGCATTTTTTTTGTTATCTAATTAACTTATATTATCTTATTTGACTCAATTATATTTATATTTTAAGTTATAGATTTTATTTTTATTTTTTGAAACACACTTGTGTGTCCTAAACATATTTTTTTACCAATAAAGTTTTTTTGTTCCAATCCACATTGTAACACAAGCCCACAAATTTAATCATTACCTAAAAATCAATAACACCATGAATATAAAAAGACATGCAAAATAATTAATTTTGTTTATCACAACTATTCTCTTCAAATATAAAAATAAAAGAAAAATAAAAAATAAAAACACTTAACTTAAAAGGAAAAAAATAAAAATATTTAAAAAAAAGCTCCTACATCAATTTCTCTAAAATCAATTTCTCTAAATTGAAAGTAACAAGTTATGAATTTTAAATTATTCATGGTGCATAACCATATTTTAAATTTTAAATTGAAAGTAACCAGTGATTCAAATCATTCCATTGTTAAAGTGTGAAGGTCGCCACCAGTATTTTGAATAACATCACAGAATAGCTCATCACTGAAAATTATCAGGCTCTTATACCAACTTTTATTCATTTTATTTTTATAAAAATCAAAACCTTCAAATATAAAAATCACTAAACTATAGAAAGACATCAAAATAATTAATTTTTATTCATTTCATTCTTCTTTGCCAAAAGCTATTGCAACTTTTTATAAAACAAGAAAAAATCTATTGATATTGAATAGTTTTTTTAAATGAAATATTCAAACTGAACAAAATAAAAAGAACTACAGAAAATATTTATATTTTCAAAAAAAATCTTGAATGAATGAACGGTGTTCAGGTTGATTTTCGGCGGTTGAAGGCGATTTATCAGGACTGGTCCTGCTGCTGTTATCAATCTGAAGGTATCGGCGTCTTGTCCTTGGAATCTTTTCGCTTTAGGGTTCCCCATGATCCCTTGTTTTAATATAGGTTAAACTATCACAGATCATGCGAAGATATACAAATTTTCTTCTGTTTTAGCAGTTGGAAGCACTGTATCTCAACTGCGACGGTCAAGGTTTTCCTTCGTCGGGACTCTTTTGGCAATGGAGAATACTGAGGCATGTGACTGTGCTTTGTTTTGTAATGAAAACGCAGTCCTTAGTGTTGAGTCGATAATGGCGTTATGAGTAGTGGCTGTTGTATTATTGATCATTATTGAGTGAGAGAAAGGGCAAATAAAAACAAAACGAAACGAAAGGAAAGAATTATTGGATTTTGGGGAAAAAAAATAATTGAATGCTTTTACTAAAGCACCATTTGTTTTTGCCTTTGCAGTTGGAAAGTATTCCGGCAAGATTTTTTTTTTCTTCAATCTAATATTTTTATGAATTTTATGTTTTTAGATTATTTTAATGTGTTCATGTAAAAAATAAATTTAAAATAATAAAAAATATTTTAAAAATAACAACCATTATAATATTAAATGGATATGCATATACATAATATAGTATTTTCATAAATTATTTTAAAAAAAATTGTTAGCGCATATGACGACTCTAACATCATATTTCGAAGTAATTTTTTATGCGTCTTGCCACCTCTTTTAATTATTAATTTAATTATATCAAATTTTATTTATTTATTTTAATTATATCAAATTTTATTTATTTTATTTTTTAATTTTATCCTTTATCATTTGAATTTCACATCAAATTTTCCTCTTATTTTATGATGTTTAGGCTTGACTCTAAATGTTTTGATTTCTAATTTATATTCTTACCTCTTTTATAAAATTTTAATTTCTTTTCAATTTCATCCTTGAATCCATGATTTTGTTTTTAAATTTTTTATATTTGATCCTCATCTCTTTATTTTTATTTTTGTTTTGGATTCTTTTATGGATTTGATTTTTCTTTTCAATTTTACTCTTCAATTCAATATTTGATGATATTTAAGATTTTACCCTCAATATTTTAATTTTTAATTTTGATTCTTAACTTTTTATTTATTTTTAATTTCATTATTGGATCCATGACCCTTTTTTTCACATTTGGTTCTCTTTCTCACATTTGGTTCTCATTCTCTTAATTTTACTTTTATTTTGGATTTTTTTGTTAATTTAATTTTTCTTTTTAATTTTATCCTTCAATTCAATATTTAATGATATTTAAAGTTTGGCCCTCAATGTTTTGATTTCTAATTTTGATTCTTATCCCTCTTATAAAATTTTAATTTTTTTTTAATTTTATCATTAGATTCATAATCTTGGTGTTTTTTATTAAAAAACGGTCCTTATTCTCATGATTTTTGTTTTTATTAGGTTTATTAGGTCACAGGTCGAGTGAGTTGACTCAAGTGAACTCAAGTCAACTAATTTTTTTTGTTTTATAAAAAAATCAAAATAATATCATTTTGAAAGAAAAAAATAGTCCACAAGTTTTGACTAATTTGCCCTGAATTAACCGAAACATAGGTCAACACGTGTTTTTAATTGCGTTACACTAAATGAGTTCTCCTTCTAATTTTTTTTTAGACTTGGCATAGTCTAAGACATGTGTCAACGTGTCAGGTCGAGCCAAGTTTTAAAATAATAGTTTTATAGATGTGGTGCTTCTAATTTAATTACTAGCTAGAATTATGTGTTTAAAAAGTTAACATAGGTTGACGTCGTTATCTTTTCAAACTATATTCTTTGAAGTTATTCATTTGAAAAATAAACTTTATTTTTTTTTATTTTCTTTTCAATTAGGTTATTTATATCTCATGATCTAGGTGAAAGGTTTATCCAAGATTTTTTAGGTCATTTTTTATCCTTTCTAATTTTTTCCTTTAAAATTTAATTTTTTAAGAAATTAAACTTTTTTTTTTTTTTTATTAGA